CTACTTTTTCTACTTTTCTTACTTTATTTACTTCTAATCCTACAGTGTCCATTGAATCAAAAGTAGCTATTAAAAAATCTGAGTCATAGCCCTTCAGTACTACATTCACTGTTGAGTCTCTACAAAATCCTAGGGTATATAGTCAGAGTCTGAGAGTTCTGAGGTGACTTCCAGATTTGCAGAGAAGGCTTCTTACTATAAATCCTGCTCATCACTCATTATCACTCTAATAACCTGACAAATGTACTGTTACTTCTGTAGACAGTCCTTAATTTAGTACTCTGACTTTCTACAGGCAAAGTATGCTCCTTACTTTTAGGCTTCTCTAATGTCTATTAGAACAGATTGATTACAAATTACAGGCAGATCAATCTAAGGGCTCAGAACTGTTAGAGCCAAACATATGTACAAGTGTTCTGTACAGACTTAATACATCTAAGCTGTGGCTTGGTTGAAGGAGATAGTGTGTGTCTTCCACTTAGTGTAGGTGACTAGTTCTAGTGTCATTCTAAGAATCTTATTAACCAGTTCTAGGTGAAGAGCTTTTTCAAGCATTCTAATGAGGACATCATTAAACCTAAGTATGAATCCTACCTTCTAGGCTAGGATATCAAACTCCTGAAAGAAGGTATTAGTAGAATGTTTGCCCTGTCACAGAAATACAAGCTTGTTCTGTGTATTACACTTCTTATTCAGATTAATGAAGGAAGCACAGAGCTGCCTCATAAATTCTAAGTATGACTTGTTGTTCTGAAGTTGGATCAGACTTCTGATCCAATGACCTTCAATCCAGTTCTAGGCCCAGGTGGCTGTATTGTCTTCCTTCATGAAGGAGAGGACAAATAGGATACAATTAAGATCTAAGGATAGATCAGTCAAAATAGTAGCCATGTATAGTTTGACTTGGTGCTGGAAGTTCTTAAAGTGCTACTTATTAAAGTCTGAAGGGTAGGCTACATGTACTTTCTTTCTGAAACAGGTTACAACTTCTAGAACAGTCAGAACAGGTTCTGAAGGGACTGAGGGCATGTGGTTGGTAAAGGCCTCTTAGATAGAGGTCTGTACATATTAAGCTAGTTCTGCTCATAACTACTGATCTAGCAGGACAGTAGGGGTAGTAGTTAGTATAGTAAGGTTCATGTCTACACTACAAAGGGATTAGCACTAAACTAAAAGGGGTAATGAATAGAAGAAGGGTGGCAAAAGTTTAAAAGGGTTTAGAAAGTTTAAAATTTAAAAATGTAAAAGGGTTAGGACAAAGGAAAGAGATTGACACAATAGTAAGTACTAATGCCTAAAATGTAGGAGAGTTGTAGGGTGGTAATAGGGAGTCTTGATCTAATGTTAGTGACAGTGTAGAGGGGACCCAAAGGCTTAGCAAGGGGACCCAAGCTACAACTATCCTACACAACAGAAATACAGAATGTGAGCACTAGAACATAGTCAGAACTTGTAGAACAGGCAGAGAGAGAGAGTGAGACAAGAGTAGAGTATATAGAGTGAGCCTAAGAGTACAGGACTACCTAGAGTAGATAAGATCAAGACTACAGGACTAGTCTGATCTTGTACACCTATATATACTAAACTACACAAGAGTACTCAGGGAGCATGAGCCACTAAGAATGATGAGCCACAAAGAATGAAAGAAAGGAATGTCAAAGATAAAGGTACAAAGAATGAAGGGATAGATAAAGAGTAAGAGACTATAGAATGATACAAAGAATGAAGGGGTGGTCAAAGGAATAGAATGATGAAGTAAGAAAGGGTAGTAGTAAGAGTCTGCACACATATAGTTTATAGACAGCACCCCTAAGGGATGGAAGTCCTGAGTTCTGGTATGGAAGGGTGTGGAACCCTTGGAACTGAAGGTACAAGAGTGGAGAACTGTAACACCTTCCAGCTAGTATTCTGGCTAAGCTGTAAAACCATAATCTATATTTTTTTTGTATTTACAAGTGCTAAAAAAAATGTCAATGTCCACCGCTCGATTTTTGCCATCAGGGTCCTTCCTAATGGGGAAGTGGCTGTGCTGTGACTGATGTGACATACTATGTCGAGTTTATACTTTCCC